CCAAATCAAAAACTGTTAAAAAGACACCATTCTTACATTTTTTTTTCTATTTCTAGTCTAGAAACTAGTATAGAAGACAAACTAATCTTATGAAATTTCATAATACTTTATGGAAGCGATTTCTGAGGATCTTTTATAGACCACTGATTACTACTTCCAAGTGTTCCACCGTGTCTAAAGGTTCCCCTCATGGTCACAGAGAAATTGGTTTTACCATTATGCCCAAGCTCTCATTTACCATTCCAATGACTCTTTATTTAGACTGAGCTAAAACCAACTCTGTGGCGTTCCTCATCTCCCAGTCTGCCTGGGCCTTTCAGACTCCACTTAGCCTCGCTCCTCAAATCGTTTGCTTTATTTAAGGTCTTGCAATCCCAAGTCATTCATCAAACACAGCATCCCTTTTCTTAGCAGCAGGCTATTTGTTCTAGGACTGGGCTGGAATCAGCAGGCTGTGGAAGAGACCTGTATCCTAGGTGGGGAGTTAGAAAATGATCTCTAAATCCCTAAGTCATGACTTATGGTGAAAGGACAGAACTCCAAACAGTTTTCAGAATCCCAGGTTATTAGCTAACAATTGGTCTGCCGGAAAGACTCCAAATTTTGAGAAGTAAACACTGCTCTTGGACACGTGCAGAGTGTGACCTTGACAGTATTGATTATGCTGAATAGAAATGTCCCCAAATGGAATGACCAAAGACCACCCCTCACTGTAGAAATGTACCAAGAGAATGGACACTCTGCAGACTGTTCTGGAAGGAATTCTTAGACAAGTAGGTTAGTTTTCAAAATGAAGGGTCTCTGGTTTACAACAACTAAGTGAAGCTTACAGAAGACTTTTTAGAAATATCTACTTAGTACAGTTAATCTGTGAGTTGTTTATTTACTTTTCTGGAGAAATACTTTGTAAATAAGCATGCTCTAGTGGGTAAATTCCATGTATGTTTGAGGGCTGTAATGAAACAATGGACTTTGTATCTTTAAAATAATTTAAAAATCTACCTCTAAAAATTCACAGCCTGAGAAGTCACCTTCTGTCCTCTAACAAAGGAAGTAGTAGTCTCTCATCAAATGAAAGACAGAAACAGGTCAAACTGTGTATATCTACAGCTAGGAAAGATAGTTTAGGTAGAACACCATTACCTCCACAAGGCCAGAGGTCATATCCGTCCTGTTCGTCATTACATTCCAGCAAAATGCTCAGCACATAGTGGACACTTAATAAATAGTTGCTGGACTAATGTTCTAGGATCCTGCTAATTCTGCCATAGACAGCAGTTAACAAAACTTACCAAAAAATCCTTCCTGCTATTATGAAAGGAAAAAGAAATTTTGCATTAATGTATAAGGAGGATCCACACTGATACTGTAAGATCATAAATATTCAATGCAAAGTACTTCCTACTGGAAAAATAAAAGAAAATAAATAAGCAAGGGACTGCTGCTTCCAGACCTGACAAAATAAGCGGTATTAGTCTTACCACTGAGCTGAGTTGCAGGAAAATAAGGTTATAACGAATTATACAGGTGAAAACTCTGTTATGAAACCACTGAAGAACCCAACATAAATTCTAGAACTTGAAAGTACAGTACATTTTATAAATGTTTATTTATTTATTTGAGAGGGAGGGAGAGAATCTCAAGCAGGCTCCACGCTATCAGCACGGATCATCACGTGAGCTGAAATCAAGAGTCAGATGCTCAGCTGACTGAACCACCCAAGCACCCTAAAAGTACAGTATTTTAAAAATTTTTTTTTTCCAACGTTTATTTATTTTGGGGACAGAGAGAGACAGAGCATGAACGGGGGAGGAGCAGAGAGAGAGGGAGACACAGAATCGGAAACAGGCTCCAGGCTCTGAGCCATCAGCCCAGAGCCTGATGCGGGGCTCGAACTCACGGACCGCGAGATCGTGACCTGGCTGAAGTCGGACGCTTAACCGACTGCGCCACCCAGGCGCCCCGAAGTACAGTATTTTAAACAGAAATCCTCCGTGTGAACAAAACAGCAGTTAAAGGTGGCAGAAGAAGGGGTCAGTGAACTTGGTGACTTGTGTTAACAATACAAACAACCTAACCTACAACTCTAGTCCCAAAAGGGGATGAGAGTGAAAGGAGCAGAAAAAAATGTGAGGAAATAACAGCCCCAAATTTTCCAATTTGGAAAAAACAAAGCTACCGATCCAAGAAGCCCAATGACACACAGCAAAATTAACATCAAGAAAACTAGGACCTAGGCATAACATGACCAAAACAAACTACTAAAAAAGAAAAACAAGAAATCTTAAAAGCAGCCAGAGGAAAAGGGCACATTATATAAATGGAAGCAACAACATACATGCTAACTAACTTTTCAACAAACAAGGAGAGCCTAAGACAATAGAATGTGAAAGTTGGAAAAGAAGGAGGAAAATGTCATCCCAGAAATTTCACAATCAGCAAACTATACTTCAAAAATGAAGGCAAAATAGGGACGCCTGGGTGACTCAGTCGGTTGAGCATCTGACTTCAGCTCAGGTCATGATCTCATGGTCCATGGGTTCGAGCCCTGCGTCGGACACTGTGCTCACAGCTCAGAGCCTGGAGCCTGCTTCGGATTCTGTGTCTCCCTCTCTCTCTGCCCCTCCCCCGCTCACACTCCATCTCTGTCTCAAAAATAAAAAAAAATAAACACACATTAAAAAAAAAATGAAGGCAAAATAAAAGAAAACCATCTACAGGAGCCCTCACTACAAGAAAACCTAAAGGAAGTTCTTCAGGCTGAAGGGAAAGGACACTAGACAGAAACTCTAATATACAGGAAAAACAAAGGATACTATGAATGGAAAATATTTAGATAAACATAAGAGATTATATTCTATGATTTCTTTGAAAGAAATAGGGCCATGTAAAGCAAAGAATTATAACACTGCATTGTCGAGTTTATTTTGTGAGCAGACAGAGTAGGACAGCAGCAGCACAAAGGATGTGGGAATGAAAGTCCTACACTGTCACAAGCCTTACACTTTATGCAGTGTGCTAATAAATACCAACTCCAAGGACACTGTGACATACTAAGGATACATTATGTAATCCCTAGGTTGTGACTAAATTGTGTTCACACACAGACACACCATTTTCTTTCAAAACAGATGAGGAGGGAATATTGTACAACTCCTTTTATGAAGCCAGCCAGCATAATTCTGACACCAAAGTTTGGGCTAGTCTGACCAGGGCACTTCTCACCCAGCAAGTATTTATTAAGGGGTACCTCGTTCCAAGTATTTCGGCAACCTAGGTCTTTGGCTTCTCAAAGGCTTTGTAGGACTATTCCTTACCACCTTTCCTCTTCCACTGTGAGGAATCACCACACCACCGAGACTGATTGTGTTAGTAGTTACCAGATTTTTTTTCCCTTACGAAGTGAGGCATTCCCTGACTTGAAAGAACTCCAAACCTTCTTCTTTTAAAACAATCAAGAGGTACCAGTTAACTTCTTACCACTGTAAGTTAAAGTCACGTGACCCTGACCAATCCTGAAAGATTCTTCTTATCACCTAGATATGGCAGCAAACTAGGTTTAATCTCAGCTCTGCTTAAATAATTTGCTTATGCGTATGGCCTTCAGCAAATTATTTAATTTCTCAAAGCTTCTACTTCTTCGGTAAAGTGGTGATAACGGTGGTGCCTGAAATGAAGACATCCTAAAGCCCCTAGCACAGTACCTGTCACATAAGTGCTTTAACAGCTATAATCATCATTACCCTTCCAATAACAACTTGTCATTCCTCTCCTTAATCCGGAACCAGTTATTTATCGTCTACCAGTACACTCTAAGTCCCTTTCTTTGTGCCTGTAGATTAAGTTCAAATAGAGAAAAGAAACGGGGAAGAGGAAAGGGAGGAGGGACAGAGAGAGATGGGGGACTACTTTTAGTTTAACAATACCACATTTCATAAAACATATCTGAATAAATTTTTTTAACAAAATAACCTTTGACAAGGCACAAATGCAATTCTTAAAATTATTCACCAGAAGAATCCTTTCTAAAATATGAAAAGGGTGCACTGTAAACAACTCCTCAGCCTCCACGGGAGGAGTCCGCAGCATTAGTCTACCTTCGTCTCTGCAAATGGAACCTCGGCCGTCCGCCTGAGGGCAACTAGGCAACAGCATTTCAAAGGACACAGGGTGAAGAAAGACCCTTCAACACTTGAAGGAAAAGGATTCCCTCCCTGTTTTCCTTGTCGGGTATGTCCCCATCACCTCTACCATGACTGGTCAGTAAACCCAGGAACATGAAGTTTCAGCTGTTGCTCAGGAAAAAGAAAACAGAACAGTCTCAGGAAATAACCTATTCAAGGTAAAGGCAGCTACATGGGTGCCCCTCCATTTCTGGGGAAGGCACTGTGGGTTAGCAGCAACAGGGAAGGGCTGAAGCAGCTTTAATCCAGACAAGGGAGGAGTCTGGGCCAGCTCAGAATCACAGGGAAATGTGCTCAGAGCTGTATGCACTGACGTTGCAGAAAACACCTGTCTGTTCCAAGAATCTACTACACATTTTGTACGCACTTACATTTACAGATGTTCTCATTCTAGCCCACAGTCAGGAAATCACTTTATTCCTAAATTCTGTGGTTACTGGGAAGAATTAAATCAATCACATCAATGTCAAAAGTTCAAAACAACAGTTTCATCTCAATCTTAAATTGTCATTATTCGTAAAATAAAGGGAAATTGAAGAATTTTTACATCATTAACTATATCTTTAGATTTGTGCATTTTGCAACATGTAAAGTATACATCAATGAAGGAAATAAACTTCATGAGGAATATAAAAGAAAACTCTTCATTTGGAATATGGCTCTTAGATGTTACTTCAAGGACACGAATTATATTTCATGTTCTCTAGTTTCTGTATTTCCTCTAAATGCTAACGTACCTCTTATGAAACAGAAAGAATTCACATGCTTATCACGTTATCAAAGGGTAACATTCGAGTAACTCTGACTCTAGCTTACCACAGGTAGTGTGAGCCAAGTTGCCACGAGGCGGTTGTTGATCCAGCGATACCAAGATGGGTTTACAAACATCAAAGGTAAAAAGGGACCCAGCATGAATATGCTTCCAAAAAAGCTTCCCCAAAACAGAGTGAGTATGAAGTAAATCCCTTTCCATGACACCATGATTCTGAAAGATATGTAAAGAAAAGAAAAAGAATATATTTTGTTACTATACATATAAACTGCCCAAACTGAGAATGCATAAAATAACCTTAAATTACAAGGCCACAGAAAAGGCTCTGGTAAAGAATTTAAGAGCTTGAATACCATAAAGGTGACCCTCTTATATGTCCTACAGGTCTAACAAATTTCCAGTACATTAGAAATGAATACTCTCAGCAGAGTAAGTGTCTGATTCCTCCCCCCACCCCAAAGCTATATTATTTAAGAAGCGCCTTTGGTTTTTTTAAATCTAGTTATTAGTATTAACATAAACATGTATGAGTTACCCAATACAAACTCTTAAAATATTCCAGAGGTTTTTTTATATCCTACTATAAAAAGTCGACTTAATGGGCCAAGAATTACAGAACAGTTTCCCAAGGGTAATCATGCCTAACAGCGTTGACAATCTTATAGAGTGCACTAAATTTTTTTTTTTTTTTAAACCTAGAAATGCTGGGGCTCCTGGGTGGCTCACTCAGTTGAGAGTGACTCTTGATTTTGGCTCAGGTCATGGCTCATGGCTCATGGAATAGAGCCCCATGTCAGGCTCTGTGCTGACAGCACAGAATCTGCTTGGTATTCTCTCCTTTGCTCTCTCTCAAAATAAATAATTTTTTTTTAATGTTAATTCTTCACACTAGAACCTGAAAGTAAGGTCTTTGGGCAACTGTTCTTAAACTGGCTTTTTCTTTATGAGCTGAAAGAATAAAGAGAAGTCAGATTCCTCACTTTATTTGCCAAAAGATTACTTTCAGGTTCCTCATAACCAAAAACACTTAATATTGACATTTTAAAAGAAACTGTTGGAAACACAGTTTAAAATGAATAATCAAACATTTGATTTTATAACCTAACCTATATTAGAGCAACAATATGTTTTGCCTCAGGATAATACAACTGTTGGAATCATTAAAATTCTGAAAACAATAATGGCCTTAAATTTTTCATTTTACAAAAGGTATTCCAGTGATCAAGACCTGTGATTCTTTTTAAATATTCAGAACAGGAAACAAAATTTCAAATGTCAAAGTGCTTTAATAAATGTCAGACAATAAAACAGGTCAAATCCCTTAACAACACAGATTCGACTTTATCTGGGTACAGAGTATGTTTTTAAATCTCTACCAATACTTGACGATGTGTGTACAAAATCCTTCCAAGTACAAAGAGAATGAGTAAGAACTGTTTTTTCCTGAACTCTAGATCTGAACTTCTAAGTAGAAGTCGGGTGAGGGACTGAGGGTACAGAGAAAAACCACTGAAATGCAGTGACCACTTTGCTCACCCAGGGCCCAGAAAGGTGTGTGTGTGTTCCTCCACACCCTCAGCTTTGCTTTGTGAGGACTAGGTTCTCCTCTTCACACTGAAAGGTGACACTCTTGGCAGCTTTTATCGAGTCTTTAGATTTAAGCTTTTTTTACACAGGAAAAAGAAAAAGACCATCTGCAGTGCTGCTCCTCTATCTGAAACCCTGTAACTCCCTTTTTTGCTGTTTCTGCCAATTAGCCATTAGCTGGCTCTGTTTAGACACTTAAGAACGGGACTCTATACTGTATACTTAAGACATACCTCTTCCTCACTTAGTAAACTATTTCTCATTTGATGTGATTAAACTCTTTTAACTCCGTATATTTCTTCTCTTAGATATCACCTAATAACATCTCATTTTACAGTAATGAAGCGGAGGACCAGAAGAGTTCCGATGACTTTCCCATGTCCCCAGACCAGCTGGAAGCATCAAGCCTTTCTGCCTTCTACTTCTTTCATGATATTATACTACGTCCTTCTCGCCGAGTGGCCGGGAATGAGAGGCCCGAGTCAGCTTCTAAACACGTATGTAAATACAGACTCAAGTAGAAAAGGATGTGTCCCATGAACATACAGGGGTTATTCAGGCCAAGTCTCATCTAAAATTACTTTTCTGTCCTGCTCCTGTCTTTTCCCTAACTTCTCAATCATTTGTTCAATAATAAGCATACAAAGAGATCCTACTGTGTGCCAGGCTCTGTGCTAGTCACTTGGGGATACCACAGTGAGTATGACAGTCATACCAAGCTCTCGTCAATCATGGCCTATCTCCTCCTCACGAACTTCTCCCTGGCTCTGCATTTAATCCAGCGCCATCTGGTCTTCTTCCAAGTCTCACAGGTTTCACAGACAAACACGGTTAACAGTTATGACAGCTACACGCTTATTTAGAATAGCTAAAATGGGGGGCGGGGGGACCTGGCAATACCAAGTACTGGTGAGGATGCAAAACATTAAGAACTCACACACACTGCTGGTGGCAATGCAAAATAGTATATATGCTTACCGTGTAACCCAGCAATTCTACTAGCAAATATATAGGACAAATGAAAACTTATGATGACACAAAAACCTGTACACAATTGTTTATAGCAGCTTCATTCATACTTGCCAAAAACTGGAAGCAACCCAAATGGGGCGGGGGATAGGCAAACAAATCCACAGAGCAGATACCTACAGCTTCTCGCTCAGGAAGGAAACCTCTTTTCCTTCATAAAATGTCCTTATGTAATCCCCTAACAACTAATATGTGCAGTAGCATTGTTCTCATACTCTACTAGGTATACTAAGAAATAAGTGCAATTCAATGGGATACATGCTACAATAGAAGGTATAACAGAGCATGCAACATGTGTTAAGGATAGTTCACGGTAAGGCAGGATGACTGTACTAAAAGGGATTAAAGAAGGCATTGTACTCTTGGAGGATATGAGGCTGGGGGTGGGAGAGATTATTCCAGGCAGTAAAACAAAACATGCAGAGTCACAGAAATACAAAACAGCATGGCTTAAGCAGGGAACTGTAACTCATGAGATTTCAATTAGGTATAGTGTACCCATTGGGGAGCTGCAAGAAATCACAAGAGCACAGGTCCCAGGGACAAACTGTACACACCCAGGCCAGGACAGCCAAGAAATACCACCTGTAGCATGTCACCATGGGTAAGAAAAAAACCTAGGGCCTATGACTCATGTTTTGGGATAAGTGGTAAGGGTGCATGTATAAGTGTCGACTCAATGCGTAAATAGATTGGTTTTGTTAAAAGCCTTAAGAGCAAACAGCTTCTCTTCCCTTCAAAACTGACAGCACATGGAACTTGTCAGCAAAAATCCCAGCATAGACAGATGCTGGTATCAAGGTCTGGGACCATCTGCTCCAGCTCCACCACGCAAAAGCCTGATATCGTGACCACATCACTTCATCTGGATGCTTACAGATGAGGAAGTTGGGGAAACTCTCAAAGGCCTACCTTTTGAGCACCTAATATTTACCAGGCACTTTACAGAAGGCTCCTGGTCGTTACATATTTAACACCTACATATTGAACTATTCATAAGCAATGAAAAGATCCATAATAGGTAAATAATTCAAAATTTTGCTGAAACTCCCAAATTTGACTACTCCGAGGCTGGTGTCAAAAAACAAATCATTTAGGTAGTAATAATCTGGTCAACTGTCCAGTATCCTAATCTCAATGGCCCTTTATTCTGTCTCAGTTACCTCCTAAGCACTTGGTAGGACAAGTTAGATACACAGTGGATTTGTAAATTTGAGGTTTTAAAAGGACCTTACTATATACCTTGATGAGTCAAGCATGTCTTAAAATAGGCACTTTACAAACATTCTCATCTAATCAAAACAAGAGCCTCAAAAGTAAGGTATCAGTAATATCAGTGGTATTTGCAGGTACAGAACTAAGGGACTCGGTTCCCCAGCACTGTTAATACTGACAGAGGTGCGCTAAAGAGCCTATCTATACCCAGGGGCACTCCCAGAAAACACAGTGGAGAGTTTGGAACTGGTATAAGAAAGATTTAAAGACAAAAAAAATAAATAATGAGTAATAAAAGTAAGAAAGAGTTAAGCATATTGTTTAAGCCCATCTTCTCTAAAGAAGGTAAAACTGGGCTTCTAGATTAGGGGACACACAGTGGAATTAAGTAACCCTACACATAGAGAATCCTAAAGCTGAGACCCAGACCATCTTTCCTCACTGGGCTTTCAGGTGGCTGGGAACAAGAGTTTAGTCCTAGTCCAGTGCTCTCCAATAAAACCTCATGCAGTGATGGAAATGTTCAGTAGCTGTGCTGTCCAGTATGATAGCCAATAGCTGTATGTAGCTAATTCAGCTGAGGAGTTATTCATTGGATGTGGCAAGTGGCTACTGTACTGAATAGCACCGCTCTAGGCAGACTACTGGGGCGCACTTCTCTGGGGATCTGAGCAGACATTGAGGAAAAACAATATAGAAGCACCGGGGGTACCCTAATAAACAGTCCACTTGGATCACCCTATAGTGAAGCCCAAAGTTCATGTAAGCCTCACCTACATACAAGTTCCTCATTGGCTTTTTAAGTCCCCTATTTTTCACTGTAAGCAGATAAAGAGACATCTGAGAAAAGTCTGTAACATAACATTAGAGACTAAAACAGAAAAAAAAATAAACTTGAAGGAAACAAACTATTCAGGAAGAAGAAAACTATCTTAAACATCAGATTAAAAAAAATACTGCATCTAGTAAACAAAAACGTGAGGAAACACTGAGAGTAAACGAGCTATTGGAAGTTGACCACATACAACGTTGAGCAAAAATTAAAAACTCAGAGTTAAAAAATAAAACAGAGGAACCCCCCCCCAAAGTCAAGAAGATAAAGGGCTGGAGAAAAAGAAAGCATTAGAGGACCAAACAGGAGGTCCCATATGCAAATCATATGAGTGCTAAAAAGAGAGTAGTGAGGAATTGAAGGGGAAGAAACCAACAACAAAAGAATTTTTAAAATTTTTCCTCCAAACTTGGTGAACAGGACACTCCACATTAACAGGGCCTGCTGAAAGCTAGGATAATGGATGAAAACATGCTCACCAAGGCACAGCACTGTCACGTTCAGGACAGAGAAGACAAAAGGACATTCTACAAAACTTCTAGAGAAGGTAGA